ATTATTTTTCTACGCTGCAATTTAAAGCTGCCGTTTCCCCCGCCACCGCAAGAAGTGTGAATTTTCTGTTTTGTGCACTGTGTTGCTTTTTTGGCTGTTAAGAAAACGGTACCAAGGCAAAACTGTTTGATGAGAAGGGGAAAAGGCCGGCAGCATCATCTTTTTAAAAAAGAGGGGGGGGAAGGGCCGGAGGAAATTGCCAGCCGGCCGTCCAGCACGCCCGCTTTCACAGCTGAGCAGCTGATGGACAAGAAGGAAGCGCAAGCCGAACATTTGGCTCCCCGATTTACGGCTTGTTTGAGATGTTCCTCTTTAGTGACACTGATAAATTAGTCGGGATAACGATTTCATTTCAGCGGTGGCCCGTAGAAACGATACCGCCAAAATTGCGGGCATTTGGAAAATATATAGTGCGTGCAAAAGAGAGAGAGAGAGGGAGAGAGAGAGAGAGGGAGAGAGAGAGGGAGAGAGAGAGGGGGGGGAGCGGCTTCCATCTGCGACAGAAGTCTTGAGTTCTAGTACTGAGTGACTTTTATAAAAAGGGAAAAACAGCTTTAACTTTGGCACGTCCTACAAAAATGCTTTTGCTTTGGGGCGGGTGGGAGGGGAGTCTTTACACATGAAAGTTCTGTCGATATGTACGAAGCTTTCATTGAGATCAACGCATCGCAGGGTTGCACCACAGGCCTCCCCCCTTTGACGGCAGCCCACCGATCTCCATGAAACGCTGTTCCTTGGGCACAGGGACCCCCCCTCTCCCAGAACTGCATAAGTGGGGTCTGCAGTGGAAAGGGAGAAATTGCCCAGTGAGTCCAGATTCAACCCATAGTTTATTCTTAGGCATTTTCAGCTGCTCAACTTCAATGCAGCGCCCCTCCTCCTATGCCTGTGTGTTAAGTCCTGTCCAGTGGCTTCCAATTTATGGCGACCCCATGAATTAAAGACCTCCAAAGCATCCTGTCATTAACAGCCTTGCTCAGGTCTTGCAAGCGGAGGGCCCTCGTGGCTTCCTTGACTGAGACAAATTATCTCAGGCTGGAACTCCCGCGTTTCCTACTGCCTTCCACTTTCCCTAGCATTATTGTCTCTTGCAGCAAGTCTTGTTTTCTCATGATGTGTTGTTGTTGTTCAGTCGCACAGTCGAGTCTGACTCTTCGCGACCCCATGGACCACATCACGCCAGGCCCTCCTGTCTTCCACCATCCTCCGGAGTTTGCTTAATTCCCTGTTCGTTGCCTCTATGAAACTGCCTGACCATCTCATCCTTTGCCGTCCCCGTCTTCTTTGACCTTCAGTCTTTCCCAGCATCAGGGCCTTCTCCAGTGAGTGCTCCCTTCTCATTGGGTGGCCAAAGTAGTTGAGCTTCAGCTTCAGTATCTGGCCTTCCAGGGAACAGTCAGGGTTGGTTTCTTTTAGGATTGACTGATTCGATCTCATGATGTGACCAAAGTACAATAGCCTCAGTCCAGTCGTTTTAGTTTCTAGGGAGAGATCAGGCTTGGTTTGGTCTTGAATCCTCTTATTTGTATTTTTGGGGGCTCACAGTGGTCTGTAAAACTCTCCTTCAACACACCTTCAACAATCCTATAAGGTAAGCCAATATTATTGCGGGGAGGTGGGCTGAGTTGGACCAGTAAATTCAGGGAAGAGATAAAATATGGACCCAAGATCACCAATTCCTGAACCCTGAGGCTACACTGGTTCCGGTGTAAACCTTCAAAAACAGTCTGTTAAGGAATGAACTCCTGTAGCAAAGAACAAATATTTTGTGGTTGGCCCACTGCCCATCTTTGAGCTACACCAGTCTATTTTGGTTCCCTCTCCATTTGGGAAACGAAGTCCCTCCTTCTGAAGTCTTGGGAAACTTCTTCTGACAGCGAACCTACCAGAAGTTCTCCCTGACAATCTACCTGTGTCAAAACTCTGCCGCAGCAGGTGCGCGTGAGAAGAGACGCTCAACGCCAGTCAGCGCCACATGTGTTCGTCAGGAAACCGAACAGAAGCAGCACAGAAGGAAGGGGGCAAGATAATTGCTGGCGTGAACGGCTGCACATTTTACTCTTGGGCAAGGGGCCAGCTTCCACCGGGGAGGAATCGGCCGGCCTCGCTGATTGGGATTCTGGGCCGGGCCTCCGTTCTTGCTGGCCGACAGCTGTAAGCCAGCAACCCATAGCATCCCAATCAGGTGCCAAGTTCCATCCGAGAATGCTGATACGGACGGAGGCGGCTTCGTCTGCCGGCCGCCTTGCGGAATGACAGTCAATCTTGGATTCCAGATGACAGGGACTGGATGCAAAATGTAAAACAAATGGTGACCTTTCCAAAGATTAATTTGTTTACCAACCGAAAGCCCTCTGTTTGTCATCCAGGATTGGGGTGACCTTCACATCCCCATTTCTAGTTTGAGAGGAGTCGGAACGTACTCATCTGTTAACTTAACTCCACCTCACCAATTATTCGCTTTCTTATTTGGAGGTGGGGGTGGGCTTATTAATTCTCCGTCACCTTCTGTAGCGTTTTTATAAATGCGGCAAACGCATTCCGAATTACTGCACCAGAACGTCAATTCGTTTAAATCTAATTCCGCTACCGGTGCCAAAAATCATCATTTTCTTTGTCATGACAAAAAACGAGCAGGGGCTTGAAGCGCACGCAGGGTTTTGTCGGCGCTGATGCATCTTCTTGTTCATTCTGCTGCTCACTTGGACAGAAAGAAACTGTCTTTCCTGGAATCATCTCCAAAACGTACATGCACTCCCTGTGGATTAATTCAGACACACACATGTGTAGGAGTGTGCGGGCATTCAGAACACACACACACGTGCAGAGGATGAAACTTGGAAGCGGAGAAAGAAGCAATTGGAGTAACTTAGGTGAACGGGCAAAGGGAAGACAGCAACTCATAAAAACTGGCAATCGCCGGGGCACTAAATTCTTCCCCATGAATAAATAAAGACGTTCTAAGTTTACATGGCATTATATATTTATTTATGGGGGCCGAAGTGTCGGTATAATTCTGCACAGCATTCTTATGAAGATGGGAACCGCAGAAAGCCTCTCCCAGGTCACGCAATTATTTAGAGTTATCTTCGTGGCCAACCGCATTGGGTCGTTTGCTTAGCGTGTGTTCTATGACCGCAGCGGCCAGCACGTCAGGCCATGCCAGAAATCTATGGCCGGGAAGCTCTTAAAGGGCTGCGGCTCATTTGTATCTCTAAGATGCACACAATTAACATAATTTGCATGCCATTTTAATTAACACGGCTAATCTGCATATTTTAACCACATGTAATTAACATAATTTCACGTTTTCACAACCGCTGCTAATCCGCACGTTTTAATTGCTCGCAATTAACATAATTTGCATGCAATTTTAATTAACACTGTTAATTTGTATATTTCCATTGCCGGTAATTAACATAATTTCGCATTTTCACAAACTGCGCTAACTTGGATATTATAGTGGCCCATAATTAATATAATTTGCAGATAATTTTTTTGCAAACACTGGTAAACTGTACGTTCAAGTTGCTTGTCATTAACATAATTTGCCTTTAAAAAAATAAACAGTGCTGATTTGCATATTTTGATTTCAAACCGGGCTGGATGAAGCCCAGTGCCTAAGCATGTAAAAGCTAACCCTGGTGCAAAATAAAATAAGCCCATCAGTCTATTGCGAAATCCACCAAAATATGCATCATCTGAAACCATTACCAAGTCCCAATCTTTCTGACAGCTCTACGATTTGCCTGCTATGATACACATATAGCTGAAGATGAGTAAAAGAGACTTCACTGAAACAGAAAAGAACAAGCTGTTTCATATGTTCAGGCCATCTGCAAGATCAAATGGTAACTTGCACATGCGAATGGGCCACTGCAGATCAAATGCCACAGATTCCGATTCATTCCAAGGCAAAGATTTTTCAGTGGAGTCCATTCACACATTCCATTGACAAATGTATACTTGAATGAGTTTAGGAATCCAGTCAGTGGTTTTGCTAGAAACAAAAAACAAACAAAAAATCACTGTGTCAGACAGTACCAATGTCAAATCTTTTGCAAAAAATTATTGTATTCAAAATTACCAATAAATCTGTCAATGTTATCAATGAATATCTGTGTCTCGAACCTTAATTATTGGTATCCAAAATTGCATCAAAAGTATCAAAAATAACAACTCAGCACAGAAAGTCTAACATTCAACTATGCAGTTACAAGATCAGTCCAACAGTAAAATTGAGAATGCTAAAGTACAGGTACAAAATTGCAAATAACTTGACAAGCGTTCCGATATGCGCTGTTTCCAATTCTTCCTCAGAACTCAGAGGCTTAGAATTTCAATGCATTATCCGTTCCGTCAGTCAGAAAACGTCTGGTATATTACATCGTAGAAAAATAATGAACGGTTTTTGCAAGTCTACTAGTTGGATGTTTCAAGACCCAACGGATGATGTATTGAAACTCTAAGCCTGTGACTTCTGAGGAAGAACTGGAAACAGCACATATCGCAACGCTTCTCAAGTTATTTGCAATTTTGTGTTCGGTCTCTTTGGTCTTACCATTCTCAACTTTACTGTTGGACTGATCTTGTAACTGCATAATTGAATGTTATACTTTCTTTGCTAATGATTCTAATGTGGTTTTGGCACTCGTGAGTAGCTAATTTTAGCACTTTTGATGCAGTTTTGGATATTAATAATTAGGGTTTGAGACACAGATATTCACTGATGACATTCATATATTTATTGATAATTTTGAATACAACATTTTTTTTTCAAAAGAGTTGACTTTGGTGCTGTTTGACATGGTGATTTGTTTGGGTTTTTGTTTCACATCCACCATGGTCCCCCCCTTTCTTTCGTGCACTGATCTTCCAGAACTACCTGACCAAAGAACCCGCAGGGACTGCAAATCTGTCTGAAGAGTTCTGGGGAAGGATTTAACCACCAACTTGAGAGTACAACCGATCGGGCAAGAAAACACATCCTGAGTACTTACAGGAGCCATTTTTCGCCGACTCACGAGAGGCACGCCAACTCCGTAGTTCTGATGTAGAACCTTTCGATGCTGGGCGTTTTGGGGGTCATACAGGATCTTCAGCATCATCGACAGCTTGTGCTGCAACAGAAAAGGCATACATGGATGCCGTGCGCAATACAAAGAAACCTTCCAAAGCCCATTTCTTGCTTCTGACTAAGGATATGCTAGCCCTATGCAACGATGGTTTGGTTATGCTAGTGCACGATGAGCAACAGAGGAAGAAAACGAAATGGCTGCTTAGAAAAAGCGAAGTAAAGGGGGCAGCACCAAGGCAAAATGAAGATGAAGAAGCAAATCGGTACGGAGGGAAAGAAGAAGAAGAGGAGGAGGAGGAGGAGGAGGAGGAAGTCTCAGAGCGGCTTACAAACTCCTTTCCCTTCCCCTCCCCACAAGAGACATCCTGGGAGGCAGGTGGGGCCGAGAGAGCTCTGACAGAAACTGCTCTTTTTTTCAAGAACAGCTGTGCCAGAATTAGGGCTTGCCCAAGGTCATCCAGCCAGGTGCAAGTGGAGGAGCGGGGAATCAAACCCGGTTCTCCCAGATTACAGTCTGCTTTTTTTGTAGCAGGAACTCCTTTGCATGTTAGGCCACACATCCCTAATGTAGCCAATCCTAATGAGTTCCTGCTGTTGGGTGTGGCCTATTATGCTAATGAGTTCCTGCTGGGCGTGGCCAACTTGGGAGCCAGCCGGAACTCCGTTCCTGTGCGTTCCTGCCCAAAAATAGCCTTGGAAACTGCCAACTGGAACTGAGCTACACAACAGAAAGGGCAAACGCCGCATCTCTTGGGTGTGGACTCCTCTTTCACAATGCGGATCCACTATGGCTCATCTTGGTGGGGTGGGAGGGGAATGAGGTCCGTGGCCTGGGGCCCCTGATCATATTGGCCCAGTGAACCAAAACATTTTCTTCTGGTTCAACCTTACCATGCAGATAAAAGAAAGGGGAGAAATCATAATTAAAGAAATGAGTGTTCAGATTCCAAAAGAAGAAGAAGAGAAGAGAATGGATTTATACCCTGCCCTTCACTCAGAGTCTCAGAGTGGCTTACAAACTCCTTTCCCTTCACCTCCCCACAACAGACACCCTGTGAGGTAGGCGGGGCTGAGAGAGCTCTTTCGAGGACTGCCCCCGAGAGAACACCTCTGACAGAACTATGGCTTGCCCAAGGTCATCCAGCCAGGTGTAAGTGGAGGAGTGGGGAATCAAACCTGGTCCTCCCAGATTAGAGTCCGCGCACTTCACCACGACACCAAACTGGCTGTGTTTTTATGTGGATGGAACAGATCCAGCTGTGTGGCTCATTAAAACATTTTTAACATGGACGGAAATCCTAGAGGAAGGAAGCCCCTCTTTAATGAGCTCCTCTTTGGCTAAATAAATACGACCTCCTCCCTTTTACAGATATAAAAATAGAAACATCAGAAGTGAACACAGAGTAAAATTATCCCCATGTGGAGGTGCCTGAATTTCACACAGGGTCTCTGTTTTCGTTGTGCTGAACGAGAGGCAAGGAAACATTTGGATCCCAGTCAAGAGCAATCATACCTCCTCTCCTGAAATCACCGCGCCGAAAATCATCACAGGCTTATTTCCCAGCGGATGAACGGGGGACCGGTGCAGTTGCTCTCGCTCAGAGCTCTGCTGAAAGTAGCCGGTGCGGGGGATCGGTGACCCATTCCGAGGGCAGATTTAGCACCAAGTCCCAGAATTTCCGCCCTAACGCAACGTGTCTTCGTGGGGCTGATTTATTCCGACCCTTAACAAAAATTATGCTCATCGTCTCAGTTAGATCTCTAACCTCTTCTGCCCCCGGAAACTTAGGGCAGGTAGCGAAGCAGCAATTTCCCTGCTGGATTTTTACAACTGTTTCGCAATAACCACACGGAGAACAGCTGGCAAAACAGTGTTGCTCTGGGGGCTCTCTGGTGTCAGCCGCAGAGACGGTACGGAAGGGCAGTGGGGCTCCGGTCCCAGAAGGGAAATCCAGGGGCGAGTGTGGGCCTTGGCCCTCTCTAACTGAAACTCAGCCATGCGTAATAAAGTCTCGATGCTGGGGGAAAGATGTCATGTGAACCCATTGATAGAATGATCCTTCTGAATCCAGACCCACACATTTAAAGGCAGCCAGCCTGATCTGTGGCCCTTGGCACAATTCCTTACAACTGGTTGGCTTTAATGTCAAAAGGGAATTCATTCCTTCGCGGAATTAGAGCCAGATTGAGCCTCAGTCCTCTGCTAAATCTCTAGTAAAGTAAAAGGTAAAGGTTCCTTTGCTCGAAAGCCAGTCGAGTCCGACTCTAGGGTTGCAGTGCTCATCTCTGTTTCCAAGCCGAAGAGCCAGCGCTGTCCAAAGACGTTTCCGTGGTCATGTGGCCGGCATGACTAAACACCGAGGCGCACGGAACGCTGTGACCTTCCCACCAAAGTGGTACCTATTTATCTACTTGCAATTTCTTGCTTTCGAACTGCTCGGTTGGCAGAAGCTGGAACTAGAGACGGGAGCTCACTCCGTCATGCGGCACCCTGGGTCTCGAACTGCTGAACTACTGACCTTCCACAGCCTGCAGTTCAGCGTCTTAACCACTTGAGCCACCGCAGCTCCAAAACCTCAGTATTCAAGTTAAATTGCCGTGTTGGCACTTTGCGAGAAATAAGTGCGTTTTGGGTCGCAGTTTGGGCACGCGGTCTCTAAAAGGTTCGCCATCACTGGCTTAGCCCAACGCTGACGGAATGTTAGAAGGGGGAAGAAGAAGAAGAAGAAGAAGAGATTGGATTATACCCCACCCTTCTGTGTACAGCTTCCTGTCAGAAGGGGGAAGAAGAAGAAGAGATTGGATTATACCCCGCCCTTCTGTATACAGCTGGACTCAACTAAGAGAAAGTGTGGCGTGCTGGTTGGAGCAGGTGTCCCCAACGTGGTCCCCGTGGGCACCACAGCACCCCCCCCCTGACCCCTTTCCTGGTGCCTGCCAAGGGTTTTTAGAAACTGGGTGGGTCCCTGTGAGGCTTTTGCCCAGCAAGGATTCTGACCGGCCACTGGAGACTGAATTAGCTGTGCAGATTTTGAGAAACACTGCTTGGACAGCGGCTGCCACCACGGCACAAGGATCTTTCCTGTGTGACTGAAGGAAAGTGGCAGCAGTTCAGGGCATTGTACTGCGCCCTCCACATTCTTCCAGTCTGGTGTCATGGTTAGGAGCACGGACTCTGATCTGGGAGGACCTTATTCGATTCCCCGCTCCTCCACATGCAGCTGCTGGCGTGACCTTGGGTCCGTCACAAGTTCTCTCGGAGCTGTTCTCTCAAGGGCAGTCCTCGAAAGAGCTCTCTCGGCCCCGCCTACCTCACAGGCAGTGTTCCCTCTAAGCTGAGTTAGCGTGAGCTAGCTCATAGAAGAAGAAGAAGAAGAAGAGATTGGATTTATACCCCGCCCTTCACTACCCAAAGGTGTCTCAGAGCGGCTTACAAACTCCTTTCCCCTCCCCTCCCCACAACAGACATCCTGTGAGGTCGGTGGGGCTGAGAGAACTCTTGACAGAAACTGCTCTTTTTCAAGAACAGCTGTGCCAGAGTTATGGCTTGCCCAAGGTCATCCAGCCAGGTGCAAGTGGAGGAGTGGGGAATCAAACCCAGTTCTCCCAGATTAGAGTCCGCGCACTCACACATTTTTGTCTTAGCCCAGGAAGGAGGGCTCCAGAGCAAACTAATTTATGCAGTAGCCAAATGGCTTGCTCACAACCTTCATGCCAGCAGCTCACAAAGTAGAATTTTTGCTCACAAGACTCCACGGCTTCGACGGAGCATTGCTCACAGGGTGACTGTTGTGGGGAGGGGGAGGGGAAGGGGAAGGAGTTTGTGAGCCGCTCTGAGACTCCTTTGGGTAGTGAAAGGCGGGGGATAAATCCAACCTGTTCTTCTTCTCCTCTGCCCACACCCGATGCAGGTAGAACTCCACACTTGCACCGCTGGTCACGCAGGGCCCCCGGGGCCGACTCCTGCACCTGCTTCCTGCCCAGTCGAGGAGCCTCCAGCATCAGGCTGCCCTGATCACACCCGGGAGGTTCTTGGACAGAGCACAAGGGGAAGGGGGAGCCACGGGGAACAGGATGGGGCTGCAAAGCCAGTGGAAGGACAACGGGGCGGACCTTTGAACGTGGAGACGCGGGTGGGGAGGAGATGCCACGCGGAACGGAAACGGCCGACATCTCGGGGAAAACGATGTCTTTCTGCGATGCCTCCACAGGGATTCCCCTGAATGAGAGAGACAGAGAGATGAAGAAAAGGTAAAACTGCAGGATTTCGCTTGGCTCCAGCTTTACACCAGGGAGGGATGGAACTGACTGAGGGTCCCCCAGAGAAGAAGATTGGATTTATACCCCGCCCTTCACTAACCAAAGTAGTCTCGGAGTGGCTTAAAAATCTCCTTTCCCTTCCCCTCCCCACAACAGACACCCTGTGAGGTCGGTGGGGCTGAGAGAAGAGAGCTCTATCGAGAACTGCTCGTGAGAGAACAGCTCCGAGAGAACTTGTGACTGACCCACGGTCACACCAGCAGCTGCATGTGGAGGAGCAGGGAATCAAACCCAGTTCTCCCAGATTAGAGTCTGTACTCCTAACCACTACAACAAAATGGAAAGGGACGGTGGCCTACACCACCATGTACAGTATGTCCTGCCTGTTACTGTAAGTATGATCCTGCTATCCTACCTGGAAATGTAATTTCTGTATCATTTAACTTGTCGTATTAATGCTTATGCTTTGTTTCTGCTATTTTCCAATTTCTGCAGGCCTAATCCCATTGCATTGCTTATGGGATGTCCGATTCTATAGACTGTGCTAACTCAACCCCACATAATATGCCTCTAGTCTCAGTGAGAAAGATGGACTATGAATAACATAAACAAATATATAAATAAAAGATCACGAGAGATTGCTGGTGTCTTACGTAAAGAAATCAAAGAGCACTAAGATGCGGAGAGGTAGAATGTCAAACTCATTTGTTACGAGGGCTGGAGAGATGCGGAGAGGCAGAAGGCATGCCTTCGGGATACTGTACTCCAGAGGTGTCGAACTCATTTGATACGAGGGCCGGATCAGACACAAATGTCATTTTGTCGGGCCGGGCCACATGTGCCATAAAACGTAATGCCAGGTACTGGAGATATAAACTGTACAAAGGACAGCAGCTGGTAAGCTCTGAGTTGGTGTGTCCTCACTGCAAGGCCCTATGGGCTGGGAGGGGTGCAGAGAAAAACCCACATGGGTGGACTGGACTTCCAGCGGTGCAGCACTAGGCAGACGCTCTCACGCTGCTTGACTGCTGCAGGTGAGGTTGTTCCGCCACGCTGAAGCCACAATCGGAGTAACTCCACCCACTCCCCTCCCCGAGCAGACTTCTGTTCCCTCCCTTGCACCAGTTGCTCACGGGCTGCATAAGAGTCCTGGATGGGCCGGTTTTGGCCCCCGGGCCTCATGTTTGACACCCCCGCTGTACTCTTTTCCTGCCGTTTGCAGAAGGCCCCTGAACTCCCTAAATGGCCTAATACGACAAGTAAAGTATAAGATTATTTCAAAATACAAAAAAGGGGGGAACCTTTCCCCACTGTTAAAAGCAGCCAGCGCAACACAGGAAATTAAAATCAAATTGTGACTGTTAATGCGTTTCTACAGGGGTCATTTCATAGAAAAAGAGGTGCGGGAGCTCATTAGCACACCTAATTAACATAATAACTCATTAGCATATGCCATGCCCCCTGACATCATCGGAAGTGTGTCAGAAGGGGAAGCAAAAAGGGGAGGCCTCCCCTCCCCCAGCCAACCTGCTAAGGCAGGGTGGTGGTGGGGAAGCCGGAGAGAGAAGGGGGTTCAAGTTTAAACCCCTTCTCTCTGGAGTCAATGGAAAGATCGCACCGCTGCTGTGGTGACTCTAGAGAGAAGAAAAAGAAGAAGAGATTGGATTTATACCACGCCCTTCACCACCCAAAGGTGTCTCAGAGTGGCTTACAAACTCCTCTCCCTTCCCCTCCCCACAACAGACACCCTGTGAGGTCGGTGGGGCTGAGAGAGCTCTTGACAGAAACGGCTCTTTTTCAAGAACAGCTCTTACCAGAACTACGGCTTACCCAGGGTCATCCAGCAGGTGCAAGTGGGGGAGTGGGGGAATCAAACCCGGTTCTCCCAGATTAGAGTCCGCGCACTTAACCACTACACCAAACTGGCTCTCAGAAGGAGCTGGGGACGGGGAGCTGGGGGCAGGGCTTGCTGCCACTGCCATTTGTGCCCGCTCCTGGGCTGCCAGAGCGCCGCTCCAGCTTGCTCCGGCCCCTATTACTCCCTGGGATTTTTATAAGCCGCTTTGAGTTCTGCAAGGGAGAAAGGCAGGTAGTAAACCTTTTAAGTAGATGGATAAAGGGATGCACTTACCATTTGGAAATCTGTCTTGAGCACAGGCCTGTGCTTTCAGATGCCGAAATAGTTAACACGGACGTGTTTACAATGGTTAAATACTTCTCAGCGTGTTTCTGTGCAGGTACAGGAGACGGGGGGGAGGGGCAATGAAAGCTATTAGGGCAAAGTCAGAGTTAGCTAAGTTAATGGCGCCAAAGTAGCTGGCCCCGGTTTGGCCTTTGATAATGGAGTGTTGGGATACGTCGCCGGCTTTGTGTTTTCTCAAAGACTGTGCCACGTCTAAAGCAAGGAGCCTGCCAAACTTTGATCACCCAACCCGTGCGATCACAATGCCAGAATATAACGCCTAGCAGATCGGATGATTGACTCTTTAGAAATGGAATTTATGGAGAGAGGAGGTCTGGCCCCCCGTCTATTCAGGAGGAAACGCTGATGCAGACTTCGGAAGCGGCGGCTGTTCCCTCTCTGCATTAAGGGTGACTCTTTCACTTACCCTCAACCCACTCTCCGTTCTTTCAATAGCAGCTTCAAGGCTTCCCACGTCCGCTGCTCCCCAGCCCTGGCTGATGGCTCGCAGCTTCTCCTTCAACTGCTGAAGATCTTCTTGAACCTAAACAATCGGTTCAAACATCCAGTCAATTTACGCAACCCCAGATGAAAAGCTAAACGGGGATCTTAAATATAGCACATCTCTGCGGCTTCACGGGACGTGGACGGGAGAAAAGCGAGCCGAACGTCAGCAGCTTGAACTTTAAAAGTTAAGAGAGGAAATGGCTGCAAAACGTTCCCCACTAATGGGAGGTGTGTGTGTGTGGGGGAGAACGGGAACGATTTTACTCTATTTATGTACCTTTCTAACTGGCTCCATCCAAAGAGCTGGAGGCAGATCGCCACGTAATTAACCCACAGTCGAAGCCACAGACAAAGATGTCCATTAAATATAAAATATGCTATTAAATGGAAATTGGTTTAACCCCAGCCACCAAAAGCCAAGTCAACGAAAAAAGGGCGTCACAGAATTATGGGAGGATGCTCAGGACTTTGGCCACAGGTTCAGGGCAGCCGCACAGAGGAAACAGACAGACGGGGCGTTTCAGCCGGCATAAACTGTTTGACCTCAGTTTGAGCATGCGCATAGGCAGCCATCCACAGAATGGCGATCTTTGCGCATGCTCAAAACACCCCGTATTACATTTAAAGTTTAAAGGTAAGGACTTACCTTCAAAGTTTAAAGCCCAAACTGGCCTCCCTGAAGTCCCGGACTCCTCCGAAACGTTAAACTAAGTGCCTTTTCTTTTCTTTTTAAACAAACACCAGGGCGAAGCTTCGCCCAAACGCATATCGGCAACCTAAAAAAAAAAAGGCGGGCGAAAATCGGAAGCCTCGGGCTTCCGAACGGAACTGGCTAGACACCGGGGGAGAGCGATCAGATGGGGGTAAACTGATTACAACCGTTGTACTCAGGATACCGCCACTTGGGGACGTAGTGGCAGAGTACAGCGGTTTAAAGGGCTTTGCAACGGTTAGGGACGGAAGGCAGATGTTCTACGTGTGAACACTGGTAAGTTCACCGATTGCAATCGGCACCTATTCCGTTGCAAATGCCCCGTCTGAACGCACCCAGAATGTCTTTTTAAACTCTGTCAAGAAAGAACATCTGAGAACTACAGAACGAAGTTTGGGTCCAGCGGCACCTTTAAGACCGACAAAGTTTAATTCCGGGTATAAGCTTTCGTGTGTACGCACACTACGTAAAACGGAGTTGTTCCAGGAGAGCATTTCTATAAGGCTAAAAGTAAAGTAATATAATGGAATGGTTCAGGAAAGCACATGTGAGTGGGATTGTATATGCCACTGTGTATATTATATATTATCTATTAATCGTACGCCTTGGCCTGTTTTTATTGCATTGCTTCTGCTTTTGAGATATGGTTGCCATTCCCCCAGTCCGGGCGGGGAATCCCCTGGTTTGGGGGGCTTCTGGCTGGCTGGTGGGGAAAACCCCACCCCCGAACAGCGACATCAGTAGGCGATGTCCCTGCTGCGATGACATCACCTGGAAGTGACATCATCGCCCTGGGGACATCGTGCAGCAACGCTCTAGTTTTTGGCCAAAACTCTATGGTTTGAGGGCAATTTTACCATAGTGTTTTACCCTCAAACAAGAGTGTCACTGTGTGATATACCCAACGAGATCACATCGCTTTCGGGTGAACACACTGCGTTGGCCCCACTCCCAGAAGGCTCCCTCCCACGCACTGCCGGCACGTCGACAAGACCTGACAATCCTATTTGGAGATTCCATTTTCAGCATTGCTTGACTTTGTATGTCTGAGAGTTTTCGGCCCTGTTTCTAATTTCTGTAATTCTAGTCCTACTAGGTTGCTTATTAGGACCCTCACCGCTGGGTGAGACGGGATGCTGGACTAGAAAGGGGAAGGGAAAGGAGTTTGTAAGCCGCTCTGAGACACCTTTGGGTAGTGAAGGGCGGGGTATAAATCCAATCTCTTCTCACTGGTCTGATCCAGCAGGGCTTTTCCTAGGTTCTTATCAGGAAGGCCTCGGCTTCTCTGCCCTGTTGTTGGCCCTCCAGAGGAACTGTTTGGCCGCTGGGTTAGACGGGATGCTGGACTAGATGGACCCTCACTGGTCTGATCCAGCAGGGCTTTTCCTAGGTTCTTATCAGGAAGGCCTCGGCTTCTCTGCCCTGTTGTTGGCCCTCCAGAGGAACTGTTTGGCCGCTGGGTTAGACGGGATGCTGGACTAGATGGACCCTCAGTGTTCTGATCCAGCAGGACTTTTCCTAGGTTCTTATCAGGAAGGCCTCGGCCTCTGTGCCCTGTTGTTGGCCCTCCAGAGGAACTGGTTGGCCGCTGGGTGAGACGGGATGGTGGACTAGATGGACCCTTACTGGTCCGATTCAGCAGGGCTTTTCCTCGGTTCTTATCAGGAAGGCCTCGGCCTCTGTGCCCTGTTGTTGGCCCTCCAGAGGAACTGGTTGGCCACTGGGTGAGACGGGATGCTGGACTAGATGGACCCTCACTGGTCTGATCCAGCAGCTTTTTTTTAATGATGTGATCCATCTGGATGGATATTGTGTCCACCAGGAAGACAAATAAGTTGATTCTAGATGACATCAAGGCTAAACTCTCCCTGGATGCTAAAACGACTAAACCGAGGCTATCGTACTTTAGTCACGTTATGAGCAGTCAAGAGTCACTGGGAAAGACAATAATGCTGGGAAAAGTGGAAGGCAGCAGGAGCAGAGGAAGACCCTACAGGAGATGGGCTGACTCAATAGAGGAAGCCACTGCTCTTCGCTTGCGAGACCTAAGCAAGGTTGTTAACGACAAGGTATTTCGGAGAACGTTGGTCCCGAGGGTGGCCATTGGTCAGAGACGACCTGACGGCACTTGACACACAACACAATCCACGCTGAGTCTCAGGAAGGAGGCAGACTGTTTTCAAAAGAGGGATACTGTATTACAATGACAAGTTATTCTAAGTAGACCTTGGAGAAGGCAACAAAGCAGAGGAAGAAGGGGGTCCCTAAAGGACACAGGACCCAAGGCTCGGGGGCCTTGTAGCATTAAAAAGCAAACAACATCAGCATTCAGAGCATGAGAACAGCGGAAGAGCCCTGCTGGGTCAGACCAGTGAGGGTCCATCTAGTCCAGCATCCCGTCTCCCACAGGGGCCAGCCAGTTCCTCTGGAGGGCCAACAACAGGGCAGAGAGGCCGAGGCCTTCCCCTGATAAGAACCTAAGAAGAGCTCTGCTGGATCAGACCAGTGAAGGTCCATCCAGTCCAGCATCCTGTCTCACACAGTGGCCAACCAGTTCCTCTGGATGGTCAACAACAGGGCATAGAGGCCGAGTCCTTCCACTGATAATAACATCAGAAGAGCCCTGTGCCCGGATAAAAACCTAAGACGAGCCCTGCTGGATCAGACCAGTGAGAAGAGATTGGATTTATACCCCGCCCTTCACTACCCAAAGGTGTCTCAGAGCGGCTTACAAACTCCTTTCCCTTCCCCTCCCCACAACAGACACCCTGGGAGGTAGTTGGGGCTGAGACAGCTCTGACAGAAACTGCTCTTCTTTCAAGAACAGCTCTTGTCAGAACTATGGCTGATAGTTCATCCAGCCAGGTGCCAGTGGAGGAGTGGGGAATCAAACCTGGTTCTCTCAGATTAGAGTCCGCGCACTTAACCACGACACCAAACTGGCTCTCTTGCCTGAGACCCTGGACAGCCACTGCCAGTCTGAGGAGACCCTACTGACCTTGCTGGACCAGTGGTCCGATCCAGTATAAGGCAGCTTCATGTGTACTGTGCCACATCTGGCTGATGAGACACCCACAGAAACACCAGCTGTCGAGGTGAACACCAACACTTTGAATTACATCCAGAAGCCAGAGGAGCCAGTGCCGCTTTGGGGGCGGCACATTAATGCCCTGTTGTTGTTGTTCAGTCGCACAGTCGAGTCTGACTCTTCGCGACCCCATGGACCAGCTCCTGCCAGGCCTTCCTGTCTTCCGCCGTCCTCTGAAGTTGGCTCAATGTCATGTCCGTTGCATCGATGACACGGTCTAACCATCTCATCCTTTGCCGTCCCCGTCTTCTTTGACCTTCAATCTTTCCCAGCATCAGGGTCTTCTCCAGTGAGTGCTCCCTTCTCATTTGGTGGCCAAAGTAGTTGAGCTTCAGTTTCATTATCTGGCCTTCCAGGGAACAGTCAGGGTTGATTTCTTTTAGGATGGACTGATTTGATCTCCTTGCAGTCCAAGGGACTCTCAAGAGTCTTCTCCAGCACCATAGTTCAAAAGAATCTATTCTTCAGCGCTCGGCCTTCCTTATAGTCCAACTCTCACAGCCATACATGACTACTGGGAATACCATTGCTTTGACCATGCGGACTTTTGTTGGCAGGGTGATGTCTCTACTTTTTATCATGCTGTTTAGGTTCGCCATTGCTTTCCTCCCAAGGAGCAGGCGTCTTTTAATTTCATGACTGCTGTCACAGTCTGCGGTGATCTGGGATCCCAGGAACGTGAAGTCTGTCACTACTTCCACAACTTGCCCTGAGCGCCCAACAATCTGTCCCCATCAGGAAACCGGTAAGCTCATCCTCCACTGGGCATCTCCAGTTAAAAGAATCAGGTAAATTGTGAAAGACCTCCACCTGAGATCCTGGAGAGCCAGAAAGAGGGGTTGTGGCTCAGTGGAAGAGCCTCTGCTTTAGAGGTAGAAGGTCAAAGGTTGAGAGCCAGTTTGGTGTAGTGGTTAAGTGCACGGACTCTAATCTGGGAGAACCGGCTTTGGGTAGTGAAGGGCGGGGTATAAATGCAAACTCTTCTTCTCTTCTTAATTCCCCTGCATTACCAGTTAAAAGAACCAGGTGATGTGAAAGACCTCCACCTGAAGCCCTGGAGAGTTGCTGCCAGTCTGAGTAGACAACACTGACCTTGATGGACCGAGGGTCTGATTCAGTAGGAAGCATCTTCATGCGAGCTCAGATGACAGCGTGTTCCTATTCAGAGCGGCATGTCCCCTATCAGATTGTGCTACCAAAGGAGTTAGCACAATTTCCCCAGAACACGGTTGGATGGCTTAATAGGAATTAGCCCCCCACCCCTTTCCGGTCTGCAGCTCAGCGTCTTAACCTCTGAGCCACCGCAGCCCCATGGTGCTTAGATAGGAATGTGCAAATAAAGAGGAAATACTTTAAAATCTGAGCGATCACAGAGCTGCCTCAAAGCTGAAACAGAAACCCTTTATGAAGCCTACAATGCGAAAAGTGCAGAAAAGGGCAACTCAAATGATAAAAGGGTTGGAACACTTTCCCTATGAGGAAAGGTTAAGGCGCTTAGGGCTCTTTAGCTTGGAGAAATGATGACTGAGGGGTGACATGATTGAGGTTTATAAGATTATGCATGGGAAAGAGCAGGTAGAGAAAGAGGTACTTTTCTCCCTTTCTCACAATACAAGAACTCGTGGGCGCTCCATGAAATTGCTGAGCGGTCGGGTTAGAATGGATAAAAGGAAGTCCTGCTTCACCTAAAGAGTGATTAACACTTGGAATTCACTGCCACAGGAAGTGGTGGGTGCTACAAGCATGGACGGCTTCAAAAGGGAATTAGATAGGCATATGGAGCAGAGGTCCATCAGTGGCTATGAGCCACAAGGTATAGATAGGGACTCTGGGGCAAGTGATGCTCTGTCATCTTGGTGCTTGGGGGGGGGGGGTCAACAGTGGGAGGGCTTCTAATGTCCTGGCCCCACTGGTGGACCTCCTGATGGCCCCTGGTATTTCTGGCCACTGTGTGACTCAGAGTGTTGGACTGGATGGGCCTTTGGCCTGATCCAACATTGGCATCTCTTATGTTCTTATGTCAATAAAAAGCAGGTTTGCATATTTTCCAATAAAAACGTGTGTGATCTTTGTTCGTGTCTTGTGGCTCTCAAACATCTGACATTTATTCTGTGTGACTGTTACATTAAACAAGTTTGCCACTCCTGCTCTAGGCTGATCCTGCATTGAGCAGGGGGTTGGAGTAGATGCCCTGTCTGGCCCCTTCCAACTCTGTGTGATTCTATGATTCTATGTACAATGGAAAAGGGGCTAACTGGAAAGTCGCACGGGAACGACATCAGAGCCAAAAACCAGAAGACAGCTAAGAAGAGGCCTAAAGATTTATCGACTGTGTTTTATCTCACCCTTCCTTCAAGGTGGAGAGGCCAAGAGAGAGACCCACTTTTTACTGAGGCAGGAAATGTGTAGCATTTCAAACTGCACACCGGGTCACAAGGCTGGAAAACATCTCCCTGTAGAGAAAATGAGGATGCCGAGGAGAAAAGTTCTACCCAAGGCTTTCCTCCCACACCCTGGTTCAATACGGGGAGGGATATCCTTTGTACAGTGGTCCCTCTAAGCTGAGTTTGTGTGAGCTAGCTCACAGTTTTGTAGCCTCCAGCTCACAGTTTTGTCTTCGCTCAGGAAGGAGGGCTCCAGCGCAAACTAATTTATACAGTAGCCAAATGGCTTGCTCACAACTTTCATGCCAGTAGCTCACAAAGGAATTTTTGCTCACAAGACTCCACGGCTTAGAGGGAGCACTGAGCACAACCCCATCTGCAGCATGAGGCTGAGTGTGGTGTTGTGGCTGGAGCGCTGGCCTTGGCGGGCTCTGAATTCCAATCCACATTCTACTACCACGAAACTCACAGAGGTGGGTGGCTTGTCACAAGTGTGTCACACCCCCCCCCCCCCCAAGCTTCTTCTTCAGGCTTCATTAATTGACGCAAGGAATGCTGGGTAGGAAAAGGGGAACCGGGGAAGCAGCAGCTGCCGCAAAGGCTTATGGGAGTTTGGCCAAGAAGCGGCCCCCTGGCCGAGGATCGGGCGCCGTCGCCGCCGACCCACCTGGACGAGGAGGGTCCCGATCTCGGCCCCCGGCCCGGCCATGGCTGCCCTCCTGCGCCTCCCTGCCCTTGGTCGAGCGCGGGGCCGGAGGAGAGCGGCGCACCACGTGACCGCGGCCTTAGCAACGGGACGCGCGGCCTGGGCGAGACCACCCGCGCGGCCGACCTGAGGGGGGGGCAGAAGGACCCGGGAGGTCAGCCTCCTCCAGGCCGTGCTCCTTCCCCGTCTCTTCCTTCCGCTTTGCCTGCCTCCCCTGGAGAAAGACTTGAGGCCGCCTCGCTGCCGAAACCCTCCGCGTCGCGCGCCTAACGGCCGCCCCCCCTTTCCCGACTCAGAAATGGTATGATCCGAAAGGAGCGGAAGAGGCGGGGCCTGGAGCGGAAGAGGAAGCGTAGGCCGCCCCAGACCTGCCGGAGGGTGCCATGGCCGTCCCCTGCGCCCTGATCACCAGCTGCGCGGCGGAGTTCCCCGGCGAGGAGCTGGTGAAACGTGAGTCCGTTGGCGCCGCTCCCGTTTCCAGGGCAGCGCTCCCGTTAGGCACGCCCCGCCCCTTGAATATCTGTGTGTGTGTGTGTGCCTCCCATCTGAGCATGTGCAGAGCGGCTCTTGGGCTTTAGGGGTTGCCACCTCCAGGTCGGAAAAGGCCTGGAGGTTTTGGGGGTGGAGCCTGAGGAGGACGGAGTGAGGGGAGGGGCCCCAGCAAAGCCTAGCGAAATGTATTATTAAACTGGGGCTTTTTTTTTTTAGAATGCTGTTCCTAATGCTGCTCACCAAGTTGACAGTGTTTGTATCGCTCTGTAACACATTTGAAAATTTTAATAAAAATAATTTAAAAAAACAAAACAAAGCCTACTGCCACATAGTCCACCCTCCAAAGCAGGTATTTTGGAAAAAGTGCAGAAAAGGGCAACTCGAATGATAAAGGGGTTGGAACACTTTCCCTATGAGGAAAGGTTAAGGCGCTTAGGGCTCTTTAGCTTGGAGAAAAGACAACTGAGGGGTGACATGATCGAGGTTTATAAGATTATGCATGGGAAAGAGCAGGTCAGGTTAGAACGGATAAAAGGAAGTACTTCTTCACCCAAAGAGTGATTCACACATGGAATTCACTGCCACAGGAAGTGGTGGGTGCTACAAGCATGGACGGCTTCAAAAGGGAATTAGATAAGCATATGGAGCAGAGGTCCCTCAGTGGCTATTAGCCAAAAGGTATAGATAGGGACTCTGGGGCAAGTGATGGTGCTTGGGGGGGGTCAACAGTGGGAGGGCTTCTAATGTCCTGGCCCCACTGGTGGACCGCCTGATGGCACCTGGTATTTCTGGCCACTGTGTGACACAGAGTGATGGACTGGATGGGCCTTTGGCCTGATCCAACATTGGCGTCTCTTATGTTCTTCTGTAAGGGGAGCCGATCTCTGCAGTCTGGATATCAGTTGCAATTCTGGGAGATCTCCAGGCCACACCTGGAGGTTGGCAACCCTGATTGTATGGCTCTTATGGGGGGTGGTCTTTAGGGCCTCTGGGCCAAGTTATTCCCCCAGGCCTCCTCCCTTGATCCCCAGGGGACTCCTGGCGTGCACGTATATGCTTGGTTTATGTAGATACTTGTGGCCTCCTTTTGTTATCAGTGGGCCCCCAAAGTGGCTTACAGCATTTATTTCTTTATCCATTCGATTTTTATCCCGCCCTCCCTGCCGAGGCGGGCTCAGGGCGGCTTACGTTAAAAGGCTAAAAATATATTAAAACATAAGTGCTTATACAGGACAACCTCATAAAGTACAAAATGTACCAGATCGTAGTGCAAAACAGAGTAAAAGTGCTGGCAGTGGTAGCGTCCCCAGATGCCCCAGAGAATGGCCCCCCGTCAGTATCCGGCTTAGCCAGCTGTTGGTGTTAGCATAAAGGGCCTTATCAATTCAGTTAGTGTTGTTGATGTTGTTAGTGGCGGCTCCTAGTCGAAGGCCTGGTGGAAGAGCTCCATTTTACAGGCCCTGCGGAACTGTAAGAGGTTCTGCAGGGCCCTGATGTCTTCCGGGAGCTCATTCCACCAGTGTGGAGCCGCCACTGAAAAGGCCCTAGCTGTGGTAGCGGCCAATCTGGCATCTTTCGGACCAGGGAGAATCAGGCGATTTTGCGACCCTGACCTCAGTGCTGTCTCTGGGGAACATGTGAGGAAAGGCGGTCCTTCAGGTAGGCAGGCCCTAGGCCATATAGGGCTATGTTCTTTCTGCCTCTTCTCACCACATTGTTCTTCCTGCCTGTTCTCACCACAACAACAACCCTATGAGAGAAAGACTGGCCTAAAGTCATCTAGCAAGCTTCCATAGTGGTGGGGAGATTTGAACCTGGGTCTTCTAATCTGTCTTTATAAACTCCCGGTGCCTTTGGCTCTTCTGTATGGTCTCCCAGCCACCCTCTCCCTCTGTTAAATAATTGCTCTTTCCTGCATCATGTTTTCCATGTGTTTGTACCGTCAACTTTTTTTTGTTTGCAGTTGTACCTATGCTGCTTTTCTGTTGTGATCTGACAGTGTGCAAAACAATGAAAATGCTTAAAAGCAATAATGCAGGTGTTGAAAAAGCAACCCCCCCTCCCCCGGACAAAAAGCCAGAGAAGTAAATTGTCAAAGCCGCTAAAGTGTGCCTGGGAATGTTGCAATATCCTGCAAGTCAGGAAGCCCCTGGCCTGAATTTTTTTTTTTTTGCCTCTGCCACAAGTATGTAAGGTGGCCTTACGCAAGACAGTCCCTCTTGGCCTCAGTCATCTATCTGCTGTACGGGGGGAAATAAATGTGACTTAACAAATTTGTCGTAAACGTTACAAGGACTGGAGTGCAAGCTGTTCCCCTGTGCCTCTGGCTCCCAGACCCAGTTTATCCTCTGCACACTTTCCTTCTGGGGGAGCCTCACGCCCTTGGAGCAAAAACTTCTGGCGATAGCTGGCCATTGTTGCTAGGTAACATGCTGGAGGGGGGGGGCCTGTTTCCCTCACAGCCTCTGTAGTATTTTTAGTTGTCAAAAGAGGCTCAAGGAGAGGACACTGGACACCACCGGACATCTTCACAGTGGCCTTTTGTTGTGGTCCAGTCGCACAGTCGAGTCCTACTCTTTGCGACCCCATGGACCAGATATCGCCAGGCCTTCCTGTCTTCCGCCGTCCTCTGAAGTTGGCTCAATTTCATGTTCGTTGCATCTATGACACTGTCTAACCATCTCATCCTTTGCCGTCCCCGTCTTCTTTGACCTTCAATCTTTCCCAGCATCAGGGTCTTCTCCAGTGAGGGCTCCCTTCTCATTTGGTGGCCAAAGTATTTGAGCTTCAGTTTCATTATCTGGCCTTCCAGGGAACAGTCAGGGTTGATTTCTTTTAGGATTGACTGATTTGATCTTCTTGCAGTCCAAGGGACTCTCAAGAGTCTCCTCCAGCACCATAGTTGATTGGCTCATTTGATCTTCTTGCAGTCCAAAGGACTCTCAAGAGTCTTCTCCAGCACCATAGTTCAAAAGAATCTATTCTTCAGCACTCGGCCTTCCTTATCCCTTTAAAATATCTTACGGTCTTCTCTTATTGTGGGTCACTTTGGAGACTACTTGCCAAGCTGAAAGATAATATATAAATGCTCAGACTCTGGACCAGATACTTGGGAATGTTCTGTATTCTGCACCTGAAAACACTCTCTCAGTATCAAGTCCTAAGAGGCTTGTTTGCTTAATCACCTGGGCAGGCACAGTAGCAATGCTGACTCTGTGCAACCCTGGTATTCCTTGGTGGTTTCCCACCCAAATACTGACCAGGGTCGACCCTGCTCAGCTTCTGAAATCTGACCAGATCAGGTTAGCCTGGGCTATCCAGGTGAGGGCTTTTACCTTTATAAAGGTAAAGGTTCCCTTG